TTTCTTTCCTGATTGGAAAAAAAGAACCTAGACTGACCACCCTTGCTAAAGGGACAAAGTGTTTGTGTTTCTCTTCTTTGTTATTTCAATCCCAACAGTAGGAATTCAATAAATATGTTCTGTGTTGTGAATAAATTTATAAATAATAAGTTTAACTAGCTTCTTTGTGATTAACAGATGGAAACTAATACCTTACAAAGCATATCTTATAACAGGTGTCTCCAGTAGTTAATGATAGATAAGCAAACAAAATACTCTGGTTGCTATGTATTTTTAAAACAAAATTACCTATTTGCACTGTGAATCCAAAGAGAAAAGAACTTCTTCCCATTGTGTAAGTTTACAAGTAAAGGAAACATAAGTCCCAGTAGTTTAATGTTACTAAAACCAAAAGCTGACACTCTGTGATAGTTAGCAATTGGTGTTCACAGATAGTAAGTATGATGTGTGGTCATTTCAGTCAAGACCCATTCTTCAGAGTTCAACATAGAGGGAACAGAGTCTGTTTCAAGCCTTGAATTGTTTGAATACTACAGTGGCATGGTAGATGGGTTGAAATCTTACAGCGAGTACCACTGTAAGATTATTTTTTATCCTCTCACCATTTCTTTATTCTTGCTACTTGGCCCCTTGTGGGCACACTTGGGAAAGTGTGCACACATTCATTTGAAATGCTAAGCGTTGCTTTCTATTGGTTTTTGCTTCCACACACCTTTGGCCCTCATCAAAGCCTTTTTGAAACTGACAAACATGAATTCTCTTCTGATGATATTGCCCAATGGAAAGAGTATGAAACTTGGAGTATGAATGTTATATTTACCATCATGCCTCTGTAACTTTGAGGAAAATGCTTAACCCATGTGAGTTTTCTAGTCTAAAAAGTGAGATCTGTCATTGCTAGTTTATATCACATAGTGAAGATTGGAGATATTACATATAAAGTGCCTAGCACATTACTTGGTACATGATAGGTACTCAGTATTAGTTTCTTATTCTTCTATTAACTTTCTGTCTACCTCCAGAACCTGTGATGGGAACAAAGGCATTATCTCTGATACTTCATAGTTCTAAAAATGATAAATTATCCAAGTTCATGTGGAAGGTGAACAAATAGTTATGACTGTTGTTCTCACACAGATGACAGGAGGTAGTGATTAACACTTCTGGAGAAACAGTATTTGTGCTATCTGTTGGCAGCTGTAGGTGTATGGTAAAGATAATATGGAGATTTATTTCCTTTAGAATGTAGATTGCCACACATGGAACTGCCACTGTGCTATCCTCTGCAGCCCCTCACACACAAGCACATACACACATAAGAGACAAGACTTTAGCATACCCCCTTGGATAATTTTTAAGCACTCAGCTATGTCCCCCTTCTTGTTCGCATTTCACTCTTTGACTTCCCACTCTACACTGTCTCTTTTGACTTCCAGTTATTTTCCTTGGTTTCAAGCTCATGTGATTACTTTGGATTCACATGAATGACCTAAGACAATCTTGGTATTTTAAAGTCACTAGATTAATGGCTCAATTCTTGCAGTAAAATCAGATTACATCAGTACATATATGAGTTTGTGATTGACAGTAATCTTGAAAGAATATCTTTAGAAATTAACATTCTGCAAACACCTGTATTTCTAGAATAAGTAATAATATATAAGCCTATAAATCTCTGGAGATATATCCAGGAATAATCTATTCAAATTCATTCTTTTGGTAGATTATATGTTCCTTAGATATGATGCAATTTGTAATAGCTACAGTTATGAATTAGCCACGCAAAAATCTGTGCTTTTCAAGGGGTTATATAGCCACCAGGAATGAGTGTGTGGTATGCCTCGTATAATCATATTTCACTGTATGCCCTCTCTGAGGTTAACAGGTTGGCATTTTTGAAAGTGGTAGAACTGTGCTGAACTTATCTTGCTGTTGTCTCTTATACTAAGAAGCAGGTTTTCAGCTACTGTAAGGAACAAAACTGATATTTTTCTGGATGAATTTTATATTTGGGATCTGACTGCTGATTTTAAAGTAAAATTTGTTGTTAAATCTTAATATCATGCTCTGGGGCTAGAAATCTCTATTTGGATCTCAGTTGCTTTCTTTTTATTGTTTTAATTTGAGTTTTACATTTTTCTCCACTCCCCTCCTTTCCTTCACTCTCCCCTTCTGCCCTCTTCCGTGACCTCCACACTCCCAGTTCACTCAGGAGCTCTTGTCTTTTCACTTTCCTACGTAGATCCATGTACATCTCTTATAGGGTTCTCTTTTTTGTCTAAGTTCTCTGGGATTGTGAATTGTAGACTGGGTTTTCTTTGCTTTATTCTGAAAGCCACTAATGAGTGAATACATATTATGTTTGTCTTTCTGGGTCTGGGCTACCTCACTCAATATAATTTTTTTCTAGATACATCTATTTGCCTGCAAATTTCAAGATGTTATTATTTTTTAACACTGAGCAGTACTTCATGTGTAAATGTACTACATTCCCCTTATCCATTCTTTGGTTATAAGGCATCTAGGCTGTTTCCAGGTTCTGGCTATAACAAATAACACTGCTATAAACATAGTTGAGCATATGTCCCTTGTGGTATGATTGAGCATCTTTTGGATGTATACCCAACAGTGGGATTGATGAATCTTGAGGTAGATTGTTTCCCAATTTTCTGAGAAATCGCCATACTGATTTCCAAAGCAGCTATACAATTTTGCACTCCCACCAGCAATGGGGGAGTGTTCCCTTTACCCCACATCCTCTCCAGCATAAGTTGTCATCATTGTTTCTGATCTTGGCTATTCTGACAGGGGTAAGATGGAAATCTCAGAGTTGTTTAGATTTGTATTTCTCCGATGGCTAAGGATGTTAAACATTTCCTTAGGTGTCTTTAAGCCATTTTAGATTCCTCTCTTGAGAGTTCTCTGTTTAGGTATGTACTCCATTTTTTTAATTGGATTATTTGTTCTTTTGATGTCAAGTTTCTTTGTATGTTTTGGAGATCAGCCCTCTGTCTGATATGGGGTTGGTGAAGATCTTTTCCCATTCTGTAGGCAGCTATTTTGTCTTTTTGACCATGTCCTTTGCTTTACAGAAGCATTTTAACTATGTTAATTCTGCCTACCTGAGAATTGGGAGATCTTTTTATTTTCTAGTATCTTCTTGAATTTCTTTCTTCAAAGTTTTAAAGTTCTTGTCATACAAGTCTTTCATTTGTTTGGTTAGCATTACCCCAAGATATTTTATATTATTTGTGGCTATTATGAAGGGTAATGTTTCTCTGATTTCTTTCTTGGATCATTTATCATCTGTATAAAAGAGGACTACTGAGTTTTTTTTAGTTAATCTTGTATCCTGCTACATTAATGAAGGTGTTTATGAGTTGTAGGCATCCCCTGGTAGAATTTTTGGGGTCACTTAAGTATACCATCATATTGTCTGCAAATATTGAGAGTTTGACTTCTTATTTTCTGATTTTATCCCCTTGATCTCCTTTTGTTGTCTTATTGCTCTAGCTAGAACTTCAAGTGCTATATTGAATAGATATGGAGAGAGTGGACGACCTTGCCTTGTTCCTGATTTTAGTGGGATTGCTTTGAGTTTCTCTCCATTTAGTTTGATGTTGGTTATTGGTTTGTCTATATGGTAGATTACATTGACAGATTTTCATTTGTTGTACCATTCCCTGCATCTCTGGGATGAAGCTTACTTGACTGTGGTAGATGATTTTTCTGATGTGTTCTTGTATTCGGTTTGCCAATATTTTATTGAGTATTTTTGCATTAGTGTTCATGAGCGAGATTGGTCTGTGATTCTCTTTGTTAGTAGTATCTATGTGTGGTTTGTGTATCTGGGAAATTAGTTGCTTTTCTTCAGTTACCAAAGCAGACTTACCAATTCTTGCAACATTTATTCTCACGATACCTTGATTTATATTTTGTCAGTTCTTGTCTTGTTAACTAAAGAAATTTCCTAATAATTTTGCTAGTCTCTCATTTCTCGATGTATTTCTCCAAGTATTATATAATCAAGTATGAACTTTAGTATAAGTTCCCTATTGCCTCCAAAACGAAATTTTAGCTTCTTAGCATGGCATTCAAAGGGTATTTCATAGCCCAGGCCTACTTCCCAATCTCATTTTCTACTATAATCCTCTAGAAATCAATTATCCAATAGTACAGGACTATTTTCAATTCTGAGCTCATGCTATTTTTTCTTGTTTAATTAGAAACAATTTTAGACTACCTAATGACTTCTATGGTTTTATGTCTTTATTGTAAGCCTCAAACTGAGCTTTACAGCACATAGCTGCTATAGGTTGAGTTCTAGGAATCTTGATTCATTTCACAAATGTTTATAAACTACAGTGCTGAATGTTACCGCTAAAGATGATAACCAAAAGAGTCAAGACTCCTGCCTTCATATCACTGGTGATAATGATGTTTGTGATGAAGATATGAAAAGAAGTTTAAGTCTTAAAATGATGGAGCAGTGGTCACTTATTCAGGTTAAAATTATAACCCGAAGACGTATAGATCAGTACTGTTTATGTGCAATTTTTGAACAACAAAAATACCACAATAAATGTCATCATCTGTGTAACAAATGTATGTTAGCATTTATAATAAAAAAGAATAAACTATGGTTTGAGAGACAGTCTATAAAATTCCTATTATTATAGTACTATGGGGGTGGAGTAGAGTTACATAGAGATTGTCTCAGAGAGTTAATAGAACAATAGGCATGACTAAAATTATAAGAAAAATTCTAAAACTCTAAAGGTCATAGAAAGAGTGAAGGCATACAAGAAGACCACAGACATTCCTAGAGGGAAGATAGGAGGTGATTTCACATAGCCTTTATAGGTAGAATTCAAAAGATGGATAGGACCTGTCCTAGTTTCATTTTTTGTTTCTGTGATAAAACATTGACCAAAAACAACTTTAGGAGAAAATAATTTAAATAATTTAATTTTAGTGCCTTCCTTTTTCTTCACGAGCAGGCAGCTAAAGTTTATAAGTGGAGAATGGTTTTATGAAGAAAAGGCAAAGCGTTTCAAGCAAGTCAATGTTCTGGGCACTGATGTTGTCCGACAGTCCATCTTAAGAAGAAGCCCAGGTAACTAATGCAATTATTTGTCTCCAAGACTTTGCTTGGGTTAAATTTGTTTGGGTTAAGGAACTTCCCTATGGTAATGTAGCAGGTGAACACAGTTGAATTTTTTCCCTCAATCCCATAGGTCATTTCACAACTTGGTAGCTTGAAATCTAAAAATCATCCAAATGAAGTCAGTAGAAAAGCAAACTTCATACTGATTTTCCACATATCTGACATGCTGAGAGTTTCAAAGGAGCCATTTATCCTCATCACAACCAGTTATTTCTCTAGGTGCATTGACGATGTTTTACTAAACATTTAAGAAAGCAACCTAAAACAGGTGAAATAAATTATTCCCATTTTTAAAGCAATTCTTGATTTTTCACCAAATCTAATTTCAGATTTTCTTTTAAATAGTATTTTTTAAATTTAATTCTTGGTTCCTAACCAAGCACTGGTACTGTACCCTAAAGTCCCACTCTCACAAGTGGGAGCACTGGGAAATGCCAAGGAGCATTTTTGGTGGTCATAATGCTTAGATTGAGTCAATGGCATTTGTTGGATAGGAACCAAGTATGATAAGTTAGGAGGCTTAAGTATGCAGGAACGTTTTAGTTTGTGAATAATTAGTTAGACTGGCCCCAAATATGAAGAACAACCATCTTGAGACTCTTCCCAAGAGTCTCAAGTCTTTAAGTTGAGACTTAAACTACAATCTAACTGGTTCAGTATTGAATAAAGTGTTCTTGAGTGCAAATTTCTCATGCATGGTTTATATAATAGAGGTGGAATGGGTATCTTTTGATCTTGAAATCTTGCAACTTTTTCCTGTGTCACTTTGGGGTGTGGCATTCACAAAGAAGGTCTCCTAAATGTGAATAACACCACATCTGATGTTATAAGAGCCAGGTTGAATGAAAATTATACAGTCAGCTACAGCCCCCTTGTACACTAAACCTCAGTGCCTTTCAGTGTATGGACTACATTTCCAGGCATAAGACATATGCACACATGCCTGTCATCCCAGGAAATCTGGCCTCTCATTTCCAAGATGTCTGGCTGTGTTTGGGGACACACTTGTGTTCACTACCGCTGGGAGACTGAGGCACAACGCTTATGTATGTAAAAGCAGTCTGGGGTACATAGTGAGTTCCAGACCAGCTTTAGGAATATAGAGAGAATTTGTCTCAAAACAAAACAACACCCATAAAAATTAGTACCTATAATCTATGGACTTAGAGATTTCATAAACTTAGCATTTCATACCCTAAAGATATCTGTAGAGGCATAATGAATTTGTCCCTTTATTTGTCCCTTTATTGTAGCCTTCCTAGGAAAGCTTAATGTGTCAAACCTTGTCCTGATGAGTCCTGGTCTTAATTCATAGCTATCTCTACAGCATTCAACATATTAGAGATGCCTATTTATGCCAAATAACTTGGGATTGAACTGTCATTACCAATTAATATAGGCTTTTTTGTTTTGTGGCAATCTAGCAACATGAGTGCAGAAGAGAAATGTGTTATCCTTTCTGCTTTTGTATTATTTTCTATTTTCCATAAGGATCTGAAGAAATACAAAGCCAAGAGCAAGCCCACCAAGATGTAGACAAGTCAGACACTTCATCGTCAATCAGACAGAAGGCCACTCATGATGGATCCAAGAGGAAGGGGTAAGTGCGGTTCATCCCCTCTAAAATAAATAATCTTCAGTGTTTTCATGTCCGATTTGACTTCAGTGACCCAGAAGAGGTGAGAGACTTAACTGGGGTAACATTTTATCCTAGGGAAATGCAGTCTTAAGTACTTTCAACCTCAGCTAAAAATAATAATAATAATAATAATAATAATAATAATAATAATAATTCCCTGGATGGAACCAATCAGTGGTGGCCCATGCCTTTAATTCCAGCACTCAGGAAGCAGAGACAGGTGGATCTCTGTGAGTACAAGGCCCATATGGTCTACAGAATTAGTTCCAAGAAAGTCAAGGCTGTTACACAGTAAAAGCCTATCTCAAAATACAAAACTAAACAAAATCCCTGGATGACCTGAACATGTAAGAGTTTTTATTTCATGCCTTATTTATTCTTGTGCCAAATGGCACATTATTTCCAGGCAGATCTACCGTCAAAGTCAGTCTTGACTATAAGACTAGAGCCTTTGTGTTCAAATGCTAGTATCCCTCTCTTCCAACCTAACCCTGGTATATAAAACAACCCAATGAAAGCATGGATACTTGAACATATTTAAAATGTAGGCTTCCTGAGTTCAATTCCCAGCAACCACATGGTGGCTCACAGCCATCTATGATAAGATCTGGTGCCCTCTTCTGGTATGCATACAGAACACTGTGTGTATAATAAATAAATAAATAAATAAATAAATAAATAAATAAATAAATAAAAAATAAAATGTAGGCTTTCTTAAGGAAAAAACAAGTCACATTTGACTGCTTCAGCTTAGCACATTGAGTACTACAATGAGCAATGGGAAATATATCGGAGAACAAGATGCAGGAAGGCACTGGGAACTGGCAGTAAGGTGCCACAAAAAATGAGAGTTCCCCCAAATGAGGGCTGCATAGCAAGGGTTCTGAGATGTGCCAAGTCTCATGGTGCCCCTCTCTAGGTAGCACTGCATTGTTGCCTCAGCAGAAGCCAACATGAAATGCTGATGTTGACTGAGACTGTAGCTAGCTCTCAAAGAAATGTGGACTTTTCCCATTTGTTCAGTGTTCTGAACTATGAGTGGGAATGAAATAAAAGTGTAATTTAACTCAGCCTCTCTTGACTAACCCCCTTGTTTACTAATTAGCAGCGACAAATGCAAAAGATTTTCTTGAATTTCTTCAACTCCTTTCCTAGGCATTTGATCCTCCCTATCGTATTGCGTTCATTTATTCATCAGGATACCCACAATGCCTTGTGCCTGTGTCATTGTGCACTCTGACCCTGGCCCCATATACACACACTTAATGGTAAGCTTTTGTAGTGCTGCTCAGGTGGCTTCTTTGCTTCTGCGTTAGGTATCTAGCATAGTGCCTAACCTTGAAAAAAACAAATGGATTGACTGCCTAAGGATCTCAGAGCCTACAGATGTTGTTAAGAGCTGTAATTTGCAGACTTTATTTCAGGCATCCCATTAGGTCACACAACTAAGAAAGATGGGAGCCGGAAAACACTAACTGGCAAACATGAGTCACACAGATCCTGACTCATTCAAACTACCATAGCTCCAGGCTGAGGCCTGCTGTCACTCAAAACAGGCAGCTGTGGTTCTGCCTTTAGGGACTGTAACATCCAGTTGGAGAGGAAAGCTTAACACCTAAAAGAGTAGCTAGGTTGGAAAGGCTTGTACGAAACTATAAAGTGCCAATGCAAACTATCAAGGTCAGAAATATAGCAATGTGGAAATAAGTCACAAGATATGGCATAGGTGATAAATGACACATATTAAATAAATAGATACTAGCTGCTTTGGAGGTACACAAGAGTTATCGAGACATACATCAGACTACAAGCCGGACTTGACAAGGAGCCTGGCAGGTGGATAGGGTTCACGCTATCAAAAGGAAGAAGGGGTGATTCTGAACATCAAAGGCTAGCATTGCATTAAGCTTCATTCTCACCCCAAATGTAATTTTCCAGCAGAGTGAAGGTTCTGACATTTTGACAGTGACATTTTGCTAGGGTCCTTTGAAGCAGAGACAACTTAGCAGATTCTGTTATAATTATGCCAGTACCTTTCAAGTCCATTTGTCCACTTAGAACATTGTTGAATAAAAAATAAATAAAATGGTGGCTCGGTACCATCTTTCTAAAGAATATAGATGGGATTTTGTTGCTTTCATTTTTAATATTTTTTATTCTTTAAAAATTTCAAATATGTATACACTGTATTCTGATCTTTTCCACCCATACTGCTTACCAGCAACTCTCCCTTGGACTCACAAACCCATCCCCTTCCACATTTCATGTGCCTTTACAAAATTATTCTTATTAATAGACCCCTGAGTTCAATTTTTGTTTAAGTGTATTTAGAAACATCCATGTTTGGTGCACTCACTATCCTGGATCAGAACTTGAACTGCATTTCCTCAAAAGTTATTTTTGTTTTAATGCCAGTTAACTACATGACATAGTAATGCACTCAGATTTCACCCAGCATGTGACCTTTCTTTGTATAAACTTCATTACCACGGGAGAGGTGCCATGGAAGACATAAAGGCAAGATATATAAAGGCATGTTCCATTAAAGCATGTACACACACACACACACACACACACACACACACACACACACACACACTAAAGAGAACTAGCGAGAAAGAGGGAGACAACACAAAGTGGGTAAATGGGTAAGGAAGGGTGGATGGGTGTCAAGTTGGGAGAGTGAATATAATCAAGACACATTGTACGAAGCTGTCCAAGAGCTAATAAATAATTTAAAAGCTGTGCCATTCCCAGTGAAGCTCAGTGATACAGAGCATGCTTAGTAAGAACATAGCATATTCTTTTATTCCCCAGAGCTGTTCTGGGTTCCACTGATGAGAAAGGTAGTCCCAACTCGAATCGTGTCTGCTCTAAGTTGCCACCTTCGTTCGTCCCAGAGACTCAGTTCCTTTCTATGCAATTCCCTATTCCCAGCCTGCTTGCAAAGAATCCCAGCCTGGAATATGCTTCTCCATCTCAGCTGCTACTGATGAGTTTCCAAACTAAGCAGTCTTTTGCTAAGCAGGGGCAGAGACCCGGCAGTAGTACGCTTACTGGGGAACTAGAGGCCCTGGCACCCCACTACGCAAAACTCCTCAATTATGGTCTTTTATTGAACAATCATTTATTGGCAAAAGTAATATAAAATATTTTTACTATTCAAACCCTGATCTTAGTTCTTATGAAACATGTTCTCTATCACTGAGCTACACTGGAAATTATATTATGCATATTATATATACATACAATGTGTGTAGGTGCTTTGCCTCCATGAATGTCTATGCAATCTGAGTGTGTGTGGTGCCCAAGATTGCCAGAAGAGGGTGTCAGGTATCAGTGTAACTGGAGTTATACACTGTTGTGAGTCACTGTATAGGTGCTGAGAGTTGAGCTTGGGTCCTCCAGAAGAACAGTTAGTAATTTTAACTGCTAGATTGTCTCTACATCCCCTCCTTTACTTTTTTTAACCTACCAAGACCTATTTGTAATATCTAAACAGTCTTGGCTATGTGGTCTTCCACTTGAGTACAATTGACTTATCAGGGGCTACATTCTTAGAGAAGCCTGACTCTCCTCTGTAGAGATTGGCAGTTGCTCCATGGGTATGGATAGGAATTTAGCACACAATTCTCCTTTGCACACTGGCATTTTTGACTGTCTTGGACTTGCATATGTGGATTTTTTGCATGCTGTCACAAACACTGTGTGTTCATATGTGTTGCTATCATTCTGTGACCAGAAGATAATGCTTCCTTGCAGTTGTCCAACATCTCTAGGCCTTTCAATCTTTCTGTCCCTCTTCTGCAACAATGCCTGAGCCTGAAGAGGAGTGGAACCGTATATATGTTCCTTTTCAAGCTAAGCATTCTGCAGTCTCACGTTTCCTTTGCCTTTCCCAGTTGTGAGTCTGTATTAATTACCATTTACTTTAATTAGAAGATTCCCTAATGGGGGTGGACGGATGCTTTAGTCTATGGGTATAATGATAAGAGTTTTCTTATCTTGCTCTTGAATTCATATGTTGATTTTCAGATTTCTTCTGAGCAAGTTCAGATCAGCAACCAGAGGAGAAATCAGAACTCCAAAACCTGAAAGTGGGAGGAGCTATAGCTTGGACTTAGACAGTCATACACTTCAGAGTTTCAAGTCAGCCTCTGGATCAGACAGGTAAGCAACAAATTGAGCAGTGGGCAGCCTGGAAATCAGGTTGATAACCTTCTACCCACATAGGGAGTCTATGTATCTGTAAAGGACCGGCACACAGAGAGTGTCTAACATATAATACAAAAGACAAGAAGATGTTTTACAGTTGTTATAGAAAACCTTTCCTCTTGATTTACAGCTATGAGAAACATTTTTTTTTTTTGTAATGTGAAAGGCTGCAGCCTTATGTTTGGGGAGTTGGGATTCTAAGTTCAAATACAGGTGTACATGACAGATAATTCTTTCATTGATTGCTTGGTCTTTTTCTGTTTCAACTTCTAAAATAAAACCCTCTAAGTGTCATACCCATTCTTTGCAGCTTTCAAAAACTATTAATAATTTCATCATTTTTGTGTTGCTCCAGGGAATTTTCTTGTAATTCCATTTATTTCTTGTTTCACTGCCTCTAACTGATTTCCAGACGGGTCAAGTGAGAATCTATTGTGCATAGTGTCAACACTCATCAGGATAGCCAAGAGCATAGTCACTTCTAATAACATTTGATTTTCTAGCTTGTTTTGGCATATGCCAGGCCTTATTTTCATTACTATCAAAGCTAAAAGTAAGGAAAAATTATCTGCTCTCATGGTACATTGATTTGTCCACATGCTAATTCCATTTTGTTCTTTTATTGCTCAGGTGGCTGCAATTCTGCTAGTATTTCTATTCTTTTCTGTTTAGGTTCTACAAGCAGAATTTCATTTTTCTTATAACACCTGGCCCTTTTTGCTCATTGTGGTACTGAGCATGGAACACAGGATCTTGCATGTTGGAGTCTAGTATACAAATCAGAACTATATATGTCCCCAGAGAAGACATTGTTTTGATTATTAGTATTTTTATTAATGATATCTGTTTATATGGGTTTCATTTTTCTCTAGAATTCTTCTACATATCACTTTTTATAAGACTTTAGAGAAAAACTATAGGAAAAAATAATTTATTATCTTCTCTCAGAGGATCAGTGTTATATTCAGAATTTTCAAATTTTTCAATAATGTAGATATATTCTCTGTAACATTAAAGAACCCCTGTGTGATTAAAATGCAAGCAAAGCATCTTTGCCCTTGAACTAGTTTTGCTTAGGAAACAACTTCCTCAAGACTTAGCAATACCACTTTTGGGTATATATCCAAAGGAAGCTCAATCGTACCACAAAGACATATGCTCAACTATATTCATAGCACCATTGTTTGTCATAGCCAGAACCTGGAAACAACCTAAATGCCCCTCGACCAAAGAATGGATAAGGAAAGTGTGGTACATTTATACAATGGAGTACTATACAGCAGAGAAAAAGAATGACATTTTGAAATTTTCAGGCAAATGGATGGAGTTAGAAAACATTTTATTTAGTGAGGTAACCCAAACCCAGAGAGACAATTATCACATGTACTCAATCATAAGTGGTTTTTAAACATAAAGCAAAGAAAACCAGCCTACAAATTGCAATCCCAGGGAACCTAGACAACAATGAGGACCCTAAGAGATTCATACATAGATCTAATCTACATGGGAAGTAGGAAAAGACAGGATCTCCTGAGTAAATTGGGAGCATGGGGACCATGGAAGAGGGTTGAAGGGGAGGGGAAAGGCAGGGAGGGGAGCAGAGGAAAACATATAGCTCAATAAAATCAATAAAAAATAGTTTTACTTCATTTCCCTTCTATTTATTTATTTATATTCTAATGACAGTTTCCCCTCTCTCTTCTCCTCCAAGTACCCCCTACCTCCTCTCTGCATCCCCAGTCTACTCTTCCTCAGTTTCTATTTAGACCAAGCTACATAACTATCACATATATGCAGAGGATCTAGGTCAGTCCGATGCAGCCTTGCAGGCTTCCCGGTTGCTGGTTCAGTCTCTGTGATTTCCTATGAGCCCATTTTTAAATGAGCTGCACAAACACAATACCTTAAACAAGAGCAGAAATAACATATATTTATATATATTATATATTATAATATAACATATATATATATTTAATATATAATATATTTATTTCTGTTCTTGCATATATGTCTGGGTTACCTCACAAAATAAAATGTTTTCTAGCTCCATCCATTTGCCTGATAGTTTGTGGATAGTTTGACTTCTCTTCTATGCTGCCTTCATTATATATTTTTTCTTCAAAACCTCAATCAGTCATGGTATTGCCTGTTAACTCAGTTTTCAGGATGATAAAGCAGGACTGTTGTGAGTTTCAGCCTGGACTGCATAATGAGTAACGGGACAGCTGTGGCTACATGGTGAGGCCATATCTCAGAAATTCAATAAGAAAAAAAAAAAAGAAACATTTGGTCTTTCTTTTTGCTTCCTTGGCTCTGAGTAGATATGAAAGTCACTCAAAATGATATTGTACCTAAATTAGTGTTGGTCTATTTTTCTTAGCCTCTTTGGGACCCTGTTGCTGAACCATTTTGCTTTCATTTTTCTTAATAGATTTAATTTTTATTATTGTGCGCATGGATGTTATGTTGGATATATGTTTGTGCACTGAATGCATACCTGATGCCCATAAAAGAAGATATCGGATCTCCTGGGCCTGGAGTAACAGGTGATCATGAGCTGCCATGTGGGTGCAGGAAATCAAACCTGGGTTCTCTGGAAGAGCAACCAGTACTCTTAAGCCTTGGGCCATCTCTCCAGCCCAGTCAGACTGTTTTCCACTTTGGGCTAACATTAAGAAGGGTACCATGTAAGAAGAGGAAAGACTGAGTTCCTTGTTTAAAGAAAATAAAGGATCCTGGGCCTATTGAGGAAAATTAAATTATGCTATTTTGAATTATTTACCTTATACTGACTCATCAAGAATGAGGGGCTTTCTCCCCATGATCATCAAGGTGTTTTATTCCAGAATCACTCTGCCTGGATTTGTTTCTTTTGTCTGCTCTGTTGCTGGGCATGAATAACTATAAAGCAGTTATGCCATATGGGCATGTTTCATCATATACTAGTGTTTTGACACAAGACTTTCTTGTAATTATAAACTGTAAGACAGTCTGTAATTAGACTTTAAAAATATTTATATTTATTCTTTGGAAATTGTATGCATTCACACAATGTATATTGATCATATTCATTCCCCACTTGTCCCCACAACCTCTTCCAGATGGCTCCTTTATGTTGCCAAAGAAGACTTTATCTTTTAAGTTGTGAATATCTGAAATAGTTTATAGGCAATCCAAATATTGGCCTCAGAGTTATTCGGCTTTAGCATGTCAAGAGCAAGGATTTCCTATCAAGAAAATGAAGATACTCAAGAGATCAGGAGAGCAAGCTGTCCTTTCCCTGGAACATTTATTGACCTTGGGGATGACTCACATTATGGCAACACTTCATTCCAAGTGATTGCTTAAAAAGTGGAGGGGGCTATCTCTTTTTTTAACTATCATCTAAAGAGATTGTGAGATGCCCATTTCTTTCATCAATGACCTGACCCAGCTAAGCAATTATTCTCTATTCTTCTTGATAAAGCATATTTCTTCATGGTTCATTAGTTTTTTCCTGGAGCAGCTGGGCTAAGGCATCCTTTTAAAAAACTCATATCATATATGAGTGGAAATGATGTTTTATCAGGTGCCTAGTTGATTTATTTATCGTCAGTAGTTTCAAAACTGGAGAAATATAAACAGGATACGAAAGGCATAGCAGCCTCTGAGGCGAGCATAACAAATTGCTATGCACTAGTTGCTAGAGACTGGACATACAAAACAAAAGGCATTTTTTAACGGTTGTAAATGTAAACTGTACTTAATCAAAGGGATGCCACTAAAAGCAGCTATTCCAAATTCCTTCTAAGTTCTAGTGAATGGTTGTTGTGCTCCACCAGAAACAGACCTTCAGACAAGAATTCATGTAAGAAATTTATCAACCAAACAACTTATTTTTTAAAAAAATGTATTTTATGTATATGGGTGTTTCGCTTGCATGTATGTCTGTGGGTCACACATGTGCCTGGAGCTAGAGTTACAGATTGTTGTGAGTTGCCAAATGGGTTGTGGGGAAAGAATGTATGTCCTTTACAAGAGTGGTCAGTGCTCTTAACCATTGAACTATCTCTCTAGCCCCTCAATCAACTGATTCTGAGGGAAAAAAAAACAAGAAGGCAGTAGGAGATACAGAACAGAGAAGGGGAAATGATGTGGGAGTGTCATATATCAATCTGTTGATTTCATTGGCTAAGTAATAAAGAAACTGCTTGGGCTCATAGCTTAGAACATAGGTGGGTGGAGTAAACAGAACAGAATGCTGGGAGGAAGAGGAAGTGAGCTCAGACTCGACAGCTCTTCTCTCGGGGTCAGACGCCTCAGAGAGACACCATGCTCCCCACTCCCGGGAAGATGCACGCGATGAAGCTCCGACCCAGGATGGACGTAGGCTAGAATCTTCCCGGTAAGACCGGTGCTCACAGATTATTAGAGATGGGTTGATCGGGATATCAGAATTAGCCTGTAAGGGCTAGAGCTAAATGGGCCAAGCAGTGTTTAAATGAATACAGTTTGTGTGTTGTTATTTCGGGCATAAGCTAGTCATGTGGGTGGCTGGGTGCTGGGGACGCAGCCCCGCAGCTCCTATTACTACAGGGAAAGATAGGTAATGACATAGCTCAGGTGAGGACTGAGTCTGAGGGCCTAGCCACAGTTTTAGGAATATAAACTGTCCCTTTGCAATTGGAGGAGCTAGGCCATCTTACTCTCATCCAACTCTGCCACTGTGAATCCCCTCACATAGGGTTTCCTTGCTTAACAAATAAAGACAAAATATATCTAGATAAACATGAATTTGAGATAAACAATATTTTTAGTATAAGTATACATAGTGAAATATTTAGAAGGTTCCAATTCTTAATAAATTTTGATTATTTATATAAAATTAAAATTTAACTTAGAATTTTGTATTTTAATCTAAGTTTTCTACCATGTGGGTGAGAGGGAGAAAAATTCCAAGTCATTTTCTAGGCCTGTAACTGTCTGTAGTGTCAATAGACAAATCCTAAAGACATAAATTGCAAGGCACCATAGAAATGCTCTTTGAAACTATGGAGAATTATGTAGAACTGTACCATGATTAATAAAAACCCAGAGACAGAAATTGGGGTTCAAGCTGAAGTTTAGAAAAGCAAAACAGCTAGCTCCTGGCTCTTACTTCAGTCCAAAATGGCAATCCTGTCTCCAGGAATCTCAGAATAAGACTGTGTCTGAGAGCTGTCTCCTCCCATCTTATATTCCTTTCTAGGGCTTTAAAGGCATGCACCACTACTGCCCAGTTTCTATGGCAAACTGCGTGGCTACTGGGATTAAACGGGTATGCCTTCACTGCCTGGTCTGTAAGGCTAATCAATGAGGCTGTTTTACACTCTGATCTTCAAGTAAGCTTTATTTATTACAATACAAATGAAATATCACTACATAGAACTAGTAATAGGATGTGAGGGTTTAGGTGGGACACTAGCAATGTCCCCTTAACATTATATAAAAATGTAGAACACTGAGCCTGAAATGTGCTGTTTAGTAGAAGTTGGTAGAAGATGGAGCTGTATTTCTAGGCAGAATTTCTTCCATGTTGCTGAAGGGTATGGCAAGCATTCTTGCCATGAGCCTTTGCACATCATCATACTCACCTATTTTGTGGTTCTTTCTTCCATTTCGGTCCCCTATACACACACTAAGATTATCCTTTTACTTTTAATTGCTCATCCTCATTCTATGCTTCACTTTTCTATTTTCCATGTCTACTAGAAATAGGTCACATTAGGTACCTTCACTATTCAAAAATTCTGTTTTCCGTATGTGTATTTGGTGAAAGCAAGTTTATTAAATCCATCCCATGATTTAATACTATCTCTACTTTCATTAGAAGTAATATTATTTTCATGTCCTATATAGAATTTTTAATCTCTTTGCAACTGAGATTTCAGGTAGGCAGTATCTTCTTCATGGTAGTATTCTATAGCATGGTGGGATTGTTTTAGTTTGCAGTCAAGATCATGTACATAGTCAACACTAGTTTATTTGACTTTTTTCCTTTAAATGAAACACTATAATTTACTCAGCAAACTTCTTCAAAAAAAGAAAAGAAGCTTTAAAACTGTTTTTATGTGTGTTGTGTCTCTAAAAACCTGTGAATTTTATTCCATAAATTTACCTATGAGTGTTGGGGATAGTGTTCTACCTTTAAAATGGTTGGGAAATTGAGGTACATGCTTGTACCCATAGTCAGGCTACTACTTGGTGAGTTCAAGTACCACTGAGAGACTACATCAAAAAACAGGTAGATGACAACTGAAAACATGAAATACTGGTAGTATTTGCTTTTACTCTAAGTCCCTGGGCTATCTAGTCTCTGGTTCTTGGTCACCCAAGCAGTGTCAGGGATAAGGAGTGGACCTTATGTCAAATTAGTTATTATTTGGTTATTCTCATAAGCTTTGTGCCACTATTGTCCTTGCATCCAGATCTACTAATTCTTTCTTTTTCTATTTTAACTTCTATTGGGTAAGGAGACCTTTCTTTAATAGAAACAAGGGATTTGAAACCAAAGCCACAAATGGTCATAAACAGCCTAAAGCAAAATTGTCAGACAATTGAGAGCTTATGAATAAAGAATTCTTTAAGTATTAAAGTGAGGATAAATGATAGAACAGGTAGGAAAATACGGATTCAGTCATATTATCATCAGGAAATGCATAAAGTCTGTATTTATAACCCATTTACAACTTTTTCCTTTGGAATGTGTTAGCCTTTCCAAATAGTTTGATTTTTAAATATAGATATTCATATCTGTGAATGAGTATGTATATTCAAGCTAATGTTTGGCCTTATGGCCTATAAATTCTCCACCTCAATTTTTCAATTCTGTTGGAGAAAGAAAGAAGTACAGACAATACATAAATGAAAGGGTATGCCTGCTTTCCAACAACATTAAAAGAGATAAGTCTAGAAAATGAAATAACTTTATTGATATTTAAATATGAATTATAGTATTTATGTATCATAAGATACTTTTCTTTTGTTTTTATCATCAATCTAAAAATGAGAAATTATTTTCATCTTGCTAGCCACAAAATTATTATAAGGGAACACTTAGTATCTCACAGTCACTCACTAAACCAGAAAATGTATCTTTATCTAAGACAGTCACCATGAGGGCAGCTCAGCACTTTCCATGTGAGCACCATACTAAGCAGGAAACATGGTAGTGCATGGGAAAGAATGAGTGTAGGCAGATGCATGTCTGAGACTAATGAACTTACTGAGCAGTTTAGCACAATATTTTCCAGCTTTTTCTGTGTATTGGAATCAGACAGGGGGTTTTAATATATTTATTTCTAGATCACATGCTCAGGGTATCCAATGTGATGTTTCAGATATACCATAGGGGGTCAAGGCTTAGCTCACATAAAGTTTAAAGATGTAGCATCTGGGGACACCAAAGACTAGAAGAGAACTGCATTTAGCCTTTTTCTCTTTTCTTTTTAGAGTTTGGTATTTCTTCCTCATGTATCAGACTTATCTTATTTTCTAGTTATAATTTTTTATTTCTCATTTTCTTATGAATTCATTTCAGATTTAAAATAATTAAAAGAACTTTAAAAAAGGCTTATATGCCTCGGTAGGAATACCCTGCATTCTGTGTGGTACCATGCTTTATACCTTGATCTCAGTGTTAATGGCTCTAATGCTGCCTTCTGGACATAATCATTTGACCATGTAGCGCAAGCTCAACATTATCAGTCTAGAAAGGGAGAACGCTGGAAAATTATTTCCTAGATACCATTCCTGGGAGAGCATTATGTAAGCTCAGAAAGGCAAGGCAATTTATAGTATCTGTCTTATCCTTGGCTCCTCTGTCCAGAATTGCACATATCTCAAAAGCCATTATCAATATTTGGGGGCATCACGGAATTAGAGATAACAAACACGTAGGCTGTTCAAAGTATATTTCATAAACTAAGTTAGACAAAACTCTTCTAATCTCGAAAATCTGTCTTCCCATAACCTAACATAACTAAGCACCACAGACCCTGTCAACTGGGTCTCCTTCTTTCCAGTTTCCCCTTAGCCACATGAGCCTGAACATTTGTTGCCAATAGTCTCTAATACATATTTAAATCATGGTAACATCAAAAATGGATTTCAAACTTCTCTAAATTTAATGTAGATGCCATCATAATCTTCCTACTTAAGTGGCAAAAGACCATGAACTTATATCCTATTTTAAATAGCATCTAAAACACTTGGCAGCTAAGCATTTAAAAGTCTGTGCCTCTTTAGATTCAACCTTTTCTTGGTATAATCAAGCAAAAGGAAATATTTTTGACACTCACAGTAAATGTCATGGACAAATAGGAAAGTCTGTGTCATTTTTCAGCTAATGCTGTTGGCAACAATAATTTCCAGTAGTTGACTTAGGATCACAAGAAGATTTTTCTTACTACAGGTGAACCTGTTAAATGTTATCATTCTGATTAACCAGATGCTGCCAGAGAATCTACAGTAAATAGGACTTTGCTTTCAGCCCTTTTGAAACCATCTTGGGAAATTTGGCAAAGCCACTTGGGTGTTGGAAGGCCTTCAACACAGGGAAGCACAAATATTCACACGAATTCTTTTTTACTTTCTTGAGCTCTTTTTGAAGAGACATTTTTAAAGGTGATCCCCCCCCAAAAAAACATTATGGAGATGTACTTATTTAGAATATTGTTCTGAGAATTGATCATCTATGGACATGACACATCACTGGGTCCGTGTCTGAGATGAACGCATGTAGAAAAGTGCAGATTGATTAACTGTTGTCAAAATGCAGTGGTTCAGGGAAATTGTTCTAAAACTTAGAACTCCAAATTGCTTCAAACAATTGAAACAGCAAATGTGTTATTTTGTCAGGATCAGCAAGCAGTGAGCAACTACTTTGAGCTATATCCATAGTTCTGAAATTTGGAGTTACCACTAGAGAGAGGAGGCCAAACATGCTCCGTGCTATCAAAAGGATGCTATATAGCAGGTTTTTCAAGATTCTTAGTCAGATGTCAAAAACTTGCACATATGCACAGGACTTAAGACACTAAACAATACACTCTGTAGCAAGAGGGAATAGTTAGTTAAAACCTGTAAGTGAACAGAGCAAGAAAAACAAGGTCTGTGCTTGTCAAGAAAGATCTGATGGGGAAGGCAGAACTTCTGTACTGAAAGGAGAGGAGGGTTCTCATGGACAAAGAATAAAAAAAAAAAGATGAGGATGGTGGATGCATATGACTTAGATGTGCCTGTAAATTTTGTCATTTAAGAATTATGAATGACTTAGAGTACTGATGAAAACAGGGAAATAAAGTTGGAAAGGTAGGGTGAAGCTCAGTTAAATGACATTGGAATTAGACAAGTTGGGATGTGGACACAGGACCTAGTGAACTCCTGCAGGTCTTTGAGGAAGGCACCATGAACACTACTGAGCAGCTCCAGTGTGGCTGGCCCTAGTCAGAGTGGTGTGGTTTGCATTCCTCATCAACATTTCTGGGCTGGCATCTTTGACTGCTGTCAAAGTTCAAATGTGCCTTATCCTTATGTATAGGAGAAGTACTGCTTCACCAGATCTCATTGACCAGGAGGCAGGACGAGGAACACCGACAAATAGCTACAGCAACGGTGGAACCCCAGCCACCCAGAGGTCACCAGCCCCAAGTGTTCGTAGTGTGACCTCCATCAGCAGTAGAGTGAGTATACAACTGTGAAGAGACATCCAGTCTCCAGGACTTGCTTTACCACCACCCATGACTCGTTTAAATTCTCTGTATCTCTGCACATGTTGTTCATACTGTTGAATGGACTGTATCCGTAGCTTTGCGCCAGAAATCCAAAGTGAGGACAAAAGGGCAAGACAGTTTTGAAACGTGCTGTTATGTGGCCCATCCTTAAATGGCTGTGCAATTTAAAGAAATAGGAAACTTTCACATTACTTCTCCGAGGACATATTTATAAATTAGCTGTTTCTCTACAGGAAAAGTAGAACCTTGGAGTGATTTTATAATTTTCTTTCTTTACATCTATTAAAATGACAGGTCAAACACATAATAAATGCTTAAATTGCTATTATATATAAATATGCTAAATGAGAAATTATTGTTTGTATCACATTATTTTCCTTTAAGGAAGAAAAGGCACAAAGCATTTGGGAGTAATACTTTCTTTTACCCACTATTCTATTGGAAGTCATTCTTGGAAAACATTACCATCTATTAGACTTTTGGGGGATGTTTTCAAGACAAGGTTTCTCTGTAGCTTTGGAGCCTGTCCTGGAACTAGCTCTTGTAGACCAGGCTGGCCTCGAACTCACAGATATCCTCCTGCCTCTGCCTCGCTAAAGGCGCACGCCACCACCACCCACTCTAGAACTTTTTATTAAGCAAGAAATCCCATGTTTCTGGAATATATAGTTAAGAAATCATTATATATATACTTTAGTACTTTGATTCAGCCATAATTTAGCGAAGTGAAACCTCCTGAAATGTCCTGGACAAACAAAGATTTAAAATAAGTGAAAGAATCAGACATGCAAATGTCTGGACTGGCAAAGTATCCTCCAGACAGACTAAATCAATGTTCAACACATAGAAAGAAGGCTGATCTATCTTTAATAATTAATGCCCTGACTCAAATAGTTTGTAAAATATCTGGACACTTCATGAGGAGCTGCCAGCACAAAGAACCAGAGATAGGCATGGCCAATTTACTAAAGGAAGACCAAAAGGGCCAGCGTGCTGCTGTAGGGCTCATATAGCAGAGCAACATGGCTTAGCATTTGTTTAGGCAGGATCTCGGGAGGGAGCTGCTGAGAAACAGCTGAGGGAAGTAAGCGAAGCCTACAGACCCTTTTGGAAGCCTTTGCCATACTGCAGCTATTAAAGGGGGCATGGAAACAGGAAACAGGAAGGTAGCAGCAGGATGTGTAGTGAGCAGAGTGGTTCAGTATTTTGGAGGAAGAATCAAAAGACATTCAGACAGCCTGAATATCACTGATTGATCTGTTTCAATATAGCCTAAACTGTATTTCCTTAGATAAAAGGCATCTTCTGAGTTTCATAAATATTTATGCTAAGCTCAGCAACTGGCTTCTGTTCAGCTGTCAGAAAAGTGCAGAGGTTGTTGATGACTATATTTTCTTCTTCAGTAACCTAGCAAGGAGTGATATTGAATGTATTTAGGAGCTGGTAGTAAGGAGACACTGACCAGTCAGAGTGATTACTTGTACAAGGCTCAGGAGCCTTGCATTCCTTATAAAGAGAATTGTGGGCAAGGAAAGGCATGAGGAAAGGAGGGTTCCAATGAAGATTATGATAATGTTTACCAGTTACTATGATAAACAAGCATTCAAAAAAGTTGTCAACTGCTGTGCCTGTGCCAGTGGGTAACAGCTGAATGCCAATAAGGGAACTCAGTTTGGTTGATCACAAAAGAAGGATTATCTTCCCAGGTGTCATTTGAAGGGAAAGAACAATTTTGCCTAAAGTTATTTCCTACAATGAAATTGGAAAATTTTTCGATTCATATACAGTGAGGGAGCGGAACTTGTTCTTGTGTTGTAACTGATCTAAGCACAGTTTCTCCTATAAATGAAAACCTTTTGACTATCTCTGTTTATGCTAGATATAAACTGCTAAGTCTAGGCTTCACCACCTGAAGTTCCAGACCAGTGGTTCTCAACCTTCCTAATGCTGCACCCCTTTGATACAGTTCCTCATGTTGTGGTGACTCCCAACTGCAAAATTATTTTCCTTGCTACTTCATAGATGTAATTTTGCTACTGTTATAAATTGTAATGTAAATATTTGTGTTTTCTGATGGTCTTAAGTGACCTCCATGAAAGGGTCTTTCAACCCCAAAGGCTGAGAACCCTTGCTATAGACTATGTGTTACATGTTAAAGACTGTACAATGTTAACTGACCTATTAATGTTCAATATTAATGGCACCACCAGATCACCCGTGGGGAAATTTTCCATCATCATAATTACCGGTGAGGAGCTTAGTCTTGCTTCGTTAGAGGACTTTCATGTGCAAAGAATTTTATGATGAGCTGTTAAAAACTGACCTAAACTACTTCATCCATTTGACCTCTATTACAGTCCAGACAAACTTTGCTAGGCTATGATAATTAGAGGAATTAGAAGAAATATACTTTCTGCTATAGGTTTTACATGTTGGAAATTATGAAATACTGAATACAGTCTACTGGAGCTGAATTGATTAGCATGCTAAACAAGTAAGAAGCAGATCTATCTGTGGAGACTTCATTAAAGTATTCCTGTAGGTCTAAGATGTCAGGCAACCAAGAGGGATTTCATCCTGTAGGCACTACTTAACCATTTATAATGAAAAGAATGGTAAAATGTCTCTTAGGTTTAACAGTTATCACACCATGGTGCCATCTTCCTTGACATTTAATCTCAGCCTAGTTCTCAAGAGAAGTACAGGATTTTTATAAAATATTAAATAAAGCTCAGTGTTAGGAGGTGGTGGTGCACATGTTTAACCCCAGCATTTGGGATGTGTCTACCTGAGTTTGAGGCCAGACTGGTCTACAGAGCAAGTTCCAGGACAGCCAGGGCTATTACACAGAGAAAACTTGTCTCAAAAAAAAAAAAAAAAAACCGAAACAAACAAACAAAAAAAGCTTAACTACATAGTGTCCCCTAGACATGACAGAGAAAATGTACCTATGAAATGTCAACAATATGACTGCTGAGGGGGTGAATCAGTTTCCTCCAAGGCTGGGTTCTCACATAGGTTTTCCAATCTCAAGTGGTCAGCCTTGGACACACATGTACATACAGGCAATGCTAAATGAACACAGTAAGTTACACACACATGTTATATATATATATATATATATATATATATATATATATATATATATATAGTATATACTATACTATATTTTTATATGTGTTTATACGAACTATTGTTTTATATATTCAATAATGGCCTAATATTAATGACAGATTAAAAATAATTAAAGAAGATATTATTAATTTGGGAATGAATCAAGAAAGGAGTTGAGGTGTAGAGTGATGTAGATGGAAGTACTCACCATTTTTTTTTTTTACAAAAGCAAGCTTACACTGCCCTTATAGAAATCAGCAGATCTGGGATAGGGTTTGCTTTTTGTCAGAGTACACAATGAAAACTAATCTCAGACTGTATTCTGCCACCTGTACAAACATTTATTTGTAGCTTGGCATCCCCTAAATCACCTATGGCTCTAAGATGAAGAAGTACCTGCTGCATCCTGCAGGACTGTTGGGATTGGGTGCACTGGGCTCTCTGATGGAAAAGCTGCAACCCCATCCCAATCTCAGCCTGTTTATTATATAACAGTCTAGTAGGGAGGTGGGCTCATTGCGTACAGCTGAACATGCTTACAGTTTAGCTAAACTCAGTAGCTGTCTTCTGGCCATAAACATCCAAGGGAGAATAAAGCTACTGTGGATATTTTCTACACACACTATCAACATTGTATAAATACCAGAAGAAGGCTTTGCCATTCCTCTGTGAATGAGGCATCGGTCCTTGACATGGCTATTCTTCTATTGAATGATATACATACACTCAGGACTTCACTTGCTGCCTACGTTTCCATTCTCATAAACACTGATAAGCATCATGCGTGACATTTTTATTTCAACATACATGTAACTATATTTTGATCACCCAGTCTTCTAGGTGGAAACTATGATGGGTCTTGGATAATTGTGGTCAGAGGAAGTATAGTTTATGTGAGTTGGCTTACTTGGTTTTCCATTATTGCCACAATGTTTGAGATGCAACTTAAAAAGAAAAGTTTGCTTTAGCTTAAAGTTTTGGGGCTTACAGATCAGAAAAAAAATAAAGAGAAAAAATACCCTCCTTTGTGGCAAATAATAAAATAAGAATATGCCAGAAGCAAACTGCTCATGTCATGATTGCCAATTACTGAAAACCATGCACTTGGCACACATCTTAAAGGATTTTATTATCATCCCGTAACACCAACCTGAAGATCAAAGTACCCGTTGTTTGGCCCTTTGGTGTAAGTTCCCTGATTAAAACCACAGCAGAGTATTTGAGGAGATGGATGTTGACAGAGGACAAATCAAAAACCAAGCAGTTCTAAGGCTAAGCGCTACTCCATGTAAGATTAGAAGTTCCTATACAATCTTTCTTGCTAATCTTATATCACTAGTTCATGAGTGAAAGAAGTATTCAAATATGTTTTATGCCAAATTGAAACCTTCTTGAATTCCATTTTATACAGTAGCTTTCTAAGTATGGGCTTCTGATAAGGATCCTTCAAATGTTATTTCATCCTCTCCTCCAATAATACATATAAATATCTTTATACTAAAGTGTATTTATATGAAGGGGTTTTAAGAGAAATCAGTCAGTATAATGTTCCTGTTTTTCATTTTCTTCCTCTGCGGGAAGGACCGTGTTGTTGAAAAGTCCATGGCTGTGGGTGCCAAGGAAAGCCCCTCTGAGGAGCTGACAAAGAGTCACCGCAGAAACACATCTGGGCCACCTTCCATCGCCGTGTCGGGTGCCTCCCTTTCTTCAGGTAGGTAGTCACAATATGAGCACTGTACTGCTAAAAAAAAAAAGACTGAAACAAATCGAATTGCCTGCTTTATAGGGTACTGAGTAGATGTTTTAGACTTGAGAAGACAATCATCCATTATAGTAATAGGTCAAAGCATAACCAGTTTCCAAGAGTGATCCCAGGTGAGCCTTAGGTCCAATGCACTAAAATAAAATCTACTTATTGAGTGTATAGCTTTGCTCTAAGTCATTGTTACGGTTCAAAGCTATACAAGGCTATCAATTTAGAAAGATAGAAAATACAAATAGTTCTAGGGTACATTTCTTATGACGGGTAATAACTCTCGCCTAGGGATCAAGGAAATGAAAGTTCCATCAGTAGAGACCAGACATTCCATATACCCACACAAACTGTTTCATCCTTTAAAACGGAATTATTTGTAAGTAGCTTGGTGTGCTTCCTATTGTGGTGATAAACACCATGACCTAAGGCAACTTGGAGAAGAATGGGTTTATTTCCTTATATAGCTTATAGTCTCTCATGAAGGGAAAGCAGGAACTAATGACAGACTGTCAGACTGTGGACGAATGTGGTTTACTAGCTTGCTCCTCACAGCTTGCTCAACCTGCTTCCATCTACACCCCAGGACCACCTGTTCAGGGGTAGTGTTGGCAACACTGATCTGGTTCCTTCCATATTAATAACCATCAAGAAAATTCCTCACAGACTTACCTACTGGCCAATCTGAGAGAGGGAGACATTTTCTCAACTGACCTTGCCTCTTCCCAGTAATAAGAGTTAAAAAAAGAGCCATGAGTCTAAAAAAGTTTGGGTGGGGTGTGTACATGGGATGGTTTGGAGGGACCTAAGGGAAGGGGAAGTGATAAAATTATACTATAATTTCAAATATATATTAAAATAAATAAGTTATCTCTACATACGTATCGCCTACGGCCCTTTTCATTGAATACTTAACATTCCAGAAACTGTCAATTAAACTAACTACATTCAGGTTTACCAACAAGTTCAGAAAATGCTGAATCGCAAACAAACTCCCATAAAGCAACTTCTCAAGGATAAAAAGAAAAACAGTGTAAAAAGATACCAAGTTCGGGGCTGGAGAGATGACTCAGTGGTTAAGAGCATCGCCTGCTTTTCCAAAGGTCCTGAGTTCAATTCCCAGCAACCACATGGTGGCTCACAACCATCTGCAAAGAGATCTGGCGCCCTCTTCTGGCCTTCAGGCATACAGACAGAATATTGTATACATAATAAATAAATAAATATTTTTTTAAAAAAAAAGGTACCAAGTTTTGAATCTATGTACGCAATGGTTGTTTCAAATCTTTTACGTGAAATGTGTGAAGAACCAAGAAGGTCTGGGACCTGGTCACCCCTATAGTGTGTGGATTCTGTATCTCTCTCACAGAATAGAATGAGGAGAATAAGGAGAGCCAAGGAAGAAGGATTTGAAAAACCTCAATCACATCTTGTCAGTAATGCCTTTTGAAACATATTCTTCCATCTCTCAATGCCCACATTTTCTCCATGGACAAACTCTATAGACTTTAACATTGTTGGGTTTAATTTATTGAAGAAGTAAAACTGTTATCAAGGTTTCCTGCTCATGCAATTCTAGTGACAAGAGGGGCCGGGAAATATAGTATTTCACTAAATCATCAAAAGCCTGACCTTGGAAAGCTTTTAGCAAATTTCTGTGATTTAAAAAAAAAAAAAACAGTGTCTTAGTTTGTTGATGGCACAGCTGCATGTGTTGATTTTAAAGGAGCAATAATGATAATAATAAAAGCAAGTTTTGAAAAGAAGCTAGCCCTATTTATTGCTTTGGAATTTTTATAATAAAATGTTTTTAGACTCTAAAAAAAATAAATAAATAAATAAAATAAATAAGTACAATATCATCTCTATAAGAGGAATTCCATGATACTTTAAAGAAAAAACTATCAAGCATGTATATTAAAGATATTAGCAAGAAATCTTTTTATTTATATAGATATTTATATTGCAGTTTATTACCTATGAGTAAGAAAATTCTTCAGAGAAATACATTGTTATTGTAATGTTTATGTACCATATGCTGAACTCAATTCATGATTAAATGCTCAGCATTAAACCATTATCTATTGCTAAAGGATAATATCTGCATGCTGCCTAAGGCTGGATTCTAGCTTGTAACTTGACTTGCAAAGAGGCCTTTTCTAGGCAACAGGCTCCTAAAGGGTTTGTGTGTGCATGTTTTTGTGTGTTTGTGGGCATACCCATGTACAGGTGTGGCACTGGGGACCGGAGGTCTCTAAAAATGCATGTTCTTAAAATTAGGAAAGGGGGCCCAACAACAAGGTGAAGTGGGTAAAGGCACTTGCTGCCAACCCTGACAACCTGTGTTCAGTTCCCTGGGCCCACATGATGAAAGGAGAGAACCAACTCCCAAAAGCTGTCCTGTGATTTTCACTTTTGCATCATGGCACACATGAATGTGCACATACGTTAAATAAATGAATATATTTTTTAAAAGAAAGATAATAAAGTAGTTCACTCATTTGATGAAAAGCTGTAACATATCCTAGACGCTAACGTCATGAAGTTACCTTCTACTGCATGTCTTCCACAACCCCCGATCATTTAGAGTGTATTCTACCAGGCACTGTGCTAAACCCCTCCTCATCACTCTATTTGCCATTTCAAACTTAAGTATCTGATTGCTCTCTCCAGTCTCTCTCCTCCATAAGCAACTATATTTGTCTCAGCAGGGCTTTAGAACAGAACTATTCTGTGAAAGTAAGCTGCCCTGACTTGGTAAGGTGTCTACAGCATTGCTGAGAAGCACATCATTTTTTCACTGTTAATTTAAAAACTGAAATAAAGATCTTCTATTCATGAAGGAATGTTCTAGTAGCTAATGAAATTAAAACCTCTCAATCTCTCTATAGTCACTCCCTTTTGCATGAAAGGAAGTCACATCATTTAAAAGTGGAAATTTATGATCGGTTGACTTCATCTTATGTCAAATGTGGAAACAGTGAATTCTCTTCAAGAATGTTAAGTTCTTTTCTTGTCAAGCTTAAGGACCCAATCTATGAGCATTTTTAGTATTTCAAAAGGAGTAAATCAGAATCTTTAAACAGCTTAAACCTACCCTTGGATCTTATAATAGAGCATTTAACTCCCTGTGATCAAAGGACAAATGAACACAGATGTGTTCATGGTCGAATTAAGGCAATTTCAAAAACACTATAAAAATGTGAGTGTGTCAAATTAAAGCAGCATGGAGTTTGTGAGCCTGGATGCTGTTTTTACTGTATTGTATTCTCTCTGTCTCTCTGTCTCTGTCTCTCTCTCTCTCTCTCTCTCTCTCTCTCTCTGTGTGTGTGTGTGTGTGTGTGTGTGTGTGTATGCATGTATAAACTGAAATATTGAAATACTTAAATGTTTGCAATGGAAATGCAGAACCACGATGGAATAAGCTGGTTCACATCTGCATTTCGTATTTATCCCTCCAGACCAAAGTCAATCTGAGTTAGATTTCAGTGAGTCATTTACAGAAGACGTAGAGGATACTTCAAGCATAAGAAGCAGATCTGTCCCTGGGACATTAGACAAAGACTTGGTAAGTTGGATGCGGGAGAAAGTTCGATAACACATGGAAAGAAAGGCATGATCTTGCTTCAAGCATTTGCAGTTTTAGGTGACAAGTTGAGGGTAGAAAGAAGACACAGAATATGTCTTCTGGTAGATTTTATGATCAAATATAAAAGTAACTAAAACACTGTAATCGAAAAACTAAAAACAGTACTGCAATTAAAATTGCAATATATACATGTAATTTGAGATGATATAAAGAAAGAGCAATGAATTAAAAATTATATAGTAAGAGAAAGTACATTGTGTTCTCAGTATGAATGGGATATTTAATATGTACATGAAATGAAGTAACATTATATTCCAACTATATATTAAAAACACATAAAACTGTGTTTTATAAAGCCACAACCTTGTGGTAAAATTTTAGTTATATCTATAAAACTGTACTTTAACAGTTTAACTCTAGACAGTTGCATGGCTGTGGCAGACTGAGGAGTCACTGACAGTGGCACCAGGTTTTATTCCTACTGCATGCACTGAATTTTTGGGAACCCATTATCTTTGAATGGATTCCTTGCTCAGCCTAGATACAGTAGAAAGGGCCTTGGACCTTCCCCATCAATGTGCCTTACCCTCTCCGAGGAGTGGATGGGGATGGGGTATAAGTGGAGGAAATGGGAGGATGGAACTTGGATTGATAAATATAATGAAAAAAAGATAGTTTTGTTTTCTTTTTAAAAATAAAAATGAAAATTGATTGATGAAAGTCATTAAAATATGATTTCAAACAGTCACAGTATATGCCATTTTAAATGTTGATATTATTAAGCCATTTACATTACAACTTAGAATACATCATGGATTTTCATATTAATAAATAAGGTTCTGGGGGTTTGGAAAATGCAATAAGATAAAATAGAAATGTTTTATAAGTTTTTAGAATGTTTTTATAAGGGCTCATAATAAATTGGGCCGTTCCACATTAATCAATCAAGAAAATGCCCCCACAGACTTGCCTACAGGCCAATCTGATAAGGATATTTTCTCAACTGAGGTTCCCTCTTTCCAGATAGACCTAACCAGAATAATGGGCATTAAAAAGGAAATGACATACTGAAAATGGAATTGAGGAAGAGATTGTAGCTTGTCTGTTTTAGTAGCAATTTTGTGATTGTCTGCTCATGATTGGCTAAGACTCATCTACAGTTATCTAAGTTACAGCTATTTACATATCAAGTTATTTTGTGGTGCATTGTGTATGGAAACACCTTTAGGCCAAACTTAAATTTTATATGGAAGCCTCTTTGGGTCAAACTTAAAATTTCCTATGGAAAAATTCAAGGTGTATACAGCTTTACAAATGAATTCCATCAAATACTTGAGCTTATTGCTGTTGTAGACACAGTATCACTCTGTAACCCAGACTAGACTGGTACTATGTAGCCCAGGCTGTCCCTAAACTTGCATGCAGTCCTCTGACCCTAGCTTCCCTAATAATGATGTTAAAGGTGTGAGCCACCAGGCCTGGTCCATTAAGTATTTGAAAAAGAAACCATGCAATTCACAAATTCAGTCAGAAAGTTGAGGGCATGATGGAAGTATTCCCATAGTCCATTACTTCTCTGGTTAACAAAGCTCCATAGGCATCACGAGAAGAGAAAACAGCAGCTCAGAACATAGAACGAATACAAGTGCTATTCTTTAATAAAATCTCAATAAGCCCCATCCTCTTACAAAAAGAAAAAAAGAATCACATACTATAACTAAGTGAGATTTACTCCATAGAAGCAAGGTTGATCAACCATTTAAAAAAATAAATGAATGTAGGGGCTGGAAAGAGAGCTTAAAAGTTAAGAATACTTACTGCTCTTAAAGAGGACCTGAATACTTTTAATTAATTTATTTATTAAAAAAACCCTATCTGTTCTCATTTTACATAACAATCCCAGTTCTCACTCCCTCCCCTCCTCCTGTTCTTGCCACCTTCCTCCCAGTCCACTCCCAATCCACTCCTCAGAGAGGGTAAGGCTTCCCATGGGGAGTCACCAAAGTCTAGCACATTGCTTTGTTGCAGGACCAAGGTCCTTCCCATTATATCTAGGCTGAGGAAAGTATTCTTCAAAAAAGAATGGATTCCAAAAATACAATGCAAGCAGTAGGGATAAATCCTGGTCCCACTGCCAGTGGCCCCTCAGTCTGCCCCAGCCACACAACTGCCACCCACATTCAGAGGGCCTAGTTTAGTCCTATGCAGGTTCTCCTATTGTCAGTCTGGAGCCAGTGAGCTCCCATTAGCTTGGGTCAGCTGTTTCACTGGATATCACCATCATGGTCTTGACTCCTTCGCTCATATTATCACCCCTCCCTGTCTTCAACTGGACTTTGGGAGCTCAACCCAGTGCTCTAATGCAGGTCTCTGCATCTGCTTCCACCAGTTGCTGGATGAAGTTCTATGATGACAACTAAGTTAGGCATCAATCTGAATACAGGACAAGGCCAGTTCGGGCACCCTCTCCACTACTGATTAATGTCTTAGCTGGGGTCATCCTTGTGGATTCCTTGGAATTTCTCTAGTGCCAGTTTTCTAGCTAGTCTGGTTATTGGCTCCCTCAATCAAGATTTTGTTCCTAGCACCTACATCAGCTGACTCACAAGTATATCTAATTCTAGTTCCAGGGGATCTGACACCCTCTTCTGGCCTCCATGAGTACATACACATAGAAATCAAAATAAAATGTAAAGCTTTTAAAATTAAATGAAGGCAATATTAGAAAATTACTAGCCATAATATCTCAGTAGGAGAAAAATTATTTGAAAAAACCATATATATATATAAACCTCAACAAGCTAGAATGAAGAATTTCTTCAACCTAATGAAGGGCATGTATAAACAATACAATTAAAGTGGTACTTAATGGCAAAAATGAATAAATGATGTCTAAGTCCAACATATAATCAGAGTTCCTTCATTCAACATTGCACAGGAAGGTAGAGCTATTGGTATAAAAGGGATAAAGAAAAGAATGGAAAAGACAAAGTAAAGAAAGGTTCTCAGTGGGGAAAAACAGTTTCAGTGTCATTAATTTTCAGATGATGTGATCCTATGTGTAGAAAATCCTAAATGATATAAAATATGGTATGACTGCAGCTAATTCATAAAGGTTGCAAGACAAAAGATTAATATAAAAAGCAATAATATGTTATATGCTATCAGTAAACAGTAGGAAACAAAGTTAAGAATGTAATCCTATCAATAATGTGAAAATAGTTTTAAAAAGTAGAAAATAAGTGCATATTAAAAAGTATAAGGCATACTTTGTGACTTACAAAGTTTTATTGACGTAAATTAGAGACCTGAATAAATGAAGAGATAATTCATTTATAGATTAGAAAATTTTGTGTTTTTAAGAAGAAAATTCCTTCCAGGTTAATCTAGTGAATATATACCAATCAAATTCAACTAAGATATTCTATAGAAATGAATATGAGAATTTTGAAATTCATATGAACTTACTAGGAGACCAGAACAAAATTTTAACAAAGTTGAATGACTTGCATGATTTGATTTTAAATAGCTTCATTTATAAAGTTATTGGTGCAAGTACAGGCAATACATCGACAGAGCACCATAATTGTTATGCGTGATTCACTTAAGAAAAATTGAATTTCATCAAGATTAAAAGTATTTGTACTACTATAAACACTGTTACAAAAATGAAAACAGACATAAATGTTTGTGAATCATATATTTGTTAAGAACTTCTGTCTTGGACATATATATGGGTACCCTACATTCAATAGTAAAAAGACAAATAGTCACCTTCGTGTGTAAAAGACTTTAAAGCTAAATAGTTGTTACTATGAATTCTTTATATTAATCTTTCTACTTTTATGAATGCATGAACACACTTTTGAACACATCCCTTCTCATCTGGATGCTTAGAAGTTTTTGTAATAATCTACTTTTAAAAGAAAGTAAAGAGACAAGGATGAACCCAGCTAAGACCCTAAGCAATAAAGGAGAGGGTGCCCGAGCTGGCCTTGTCCTGTAGTCAGACTGATGAATATCTTAAATATCACCATAGAGCTTTCATCCAGCAACTGATGGAAACAGAGGCAGAGACTCACAATGAAGCACTGGGCTGAGCTCCCAAAGTCCAGTTGAAGAGTGAGAGGAATGAGAATATGAGCAAAGAGGTCAAGACCATGATGGGTTCATCCACTGAAACAGTTTACCTGAGCTAATGGGAGCTCACCAACTCCAGCAGGACAGGGAAGGAACAAGCATAAGACCAAACTAGTCCCTCTGAATGTGGTTGACAGATGTATGGCTGGGGCAGACTGGGGGTCCACTGGCAGTGGCACTGGGATTTATCCCTACTGCTTGTACTGGCTTTTTGGAAACTTATTCTCTTTGAATGGATACCTTGCTCAGCCTAGATATAGTAGGGAGGGCCTTGGGCCTTCCACAAAGCAAGTTTCTTACCCACTCTGAAGAGTGATTGGGGGTGTGGTGGGGGTATGTGGAGGGAATGGGAGGAGAGGAGGGAGTGGAAACTTGGATTGGTATATATAATGAAAAAAGATTGTTTTCTTTTAAAAACAATTAAATAAAATAGTAAAGTAAAGAGACATGATGACTAGAAGTTTGTGTTATAACCAGTTTATAAGTGTACACTCAGAAATAGGAAATGTAGTAAATACAGAAAAAGCACTAGTTGATGCAGTAGTAAGGATATTTTTGCCATACTTTAAAGAAATGTCTAGTTTGAAAGTATTCAAGATGATAAATAAATAATAATTCAGACCAGAAATATTAAATTCTTAAAAACTTCCAGTAGAAATATGATTTAATATAAATAAAGATCCAATTAGTATCAGTTTTCTATGGTAACACTGAGTACAAGATGAAAGCAGTAATATTTTTAAATTATTTTAAGAAAACTATTTTAGACTCAAGCCTTTAAAAACCTACTTAAATATAGCATGACCTCCAAGACATACTCAACAAGAGCCCATATTAAAAGCAGTTTAGGTTCAAATATACTTATGCAAAGAAGAAATCTTAGAACTATTGCAAAAGGTTTTAAAAGCAAATGTCATTACATAAATTGGCCAAGTTATACTAAAAAAAAAAGCTAAGATGAAAGAAGCAGAAAATAAAGGAAACACATTAAACAAGTCTTTTAATTCTGATTAAAAATCACTAATCCTATAGCACTTATATTAAGCATCAAAAACAAAAAATGGAACTCATGAATTACACAAAACAAAATCATTCATGAATTTTTATGTTAAAAATGCATTGCTAAAAATTAGTTAAGAAAGAAATCATAACAGAGATAGGGTAGAAAGAGCCTGGAGCAAGAGGGAGAGTGTGTGTGAGAGAGAGGTGTGTGTGGCAGCAGGGCAGGGTGCAACTCTGAACTAAATATCTGGTGCATTGTCCAATACACAAGCCATAGAGACCAGGAAGGTGGAAATTAAACCCAGATCTGAAGAATTCCAAATTTCCTTCAAGAAAGTGATGCTAGAAAAGATACCCTCTAATGCCCAACCCCTGTCTACTCCTTTGATTTTATAATTAAGATTAACTGAAAATGCAAAAACCTAAGCCTGTTTTTCTTTGATTTTCCAACTGTTTGTGAGATAAACCTTTATTTCATTTAAAAAGATATCCTCCTATGGTAAAAATAAGCTTAAACTATTGACTTTTACATCCTTTCTAGAACTCCTTAGAAGATGCTGAAGATGATGCCAATGACTTAGTGTCCTCTGGGTTTTCTGCAAGTCCCCACAGTCTGGCAACAGGCCTTTCAATGGTAAACATTCTCACAGAAACTTTCTTTATCTTGTTCATTCCCTGTGCATTTTCAAGAGGTGGGAAGGTTTGATCATACGTCCCAAGCTGCCACAGGTTCCTGCTTGCCCTGTGCCCATACACCACCTTACACTCTATTTTGATACTTGAATCCTTTCTTTTCTGCCATGATCATAATCCAGCTTTTGAACTGGATTCATTTCCATTTTATAAAGTCCTGGATAAAGAAGAGTTTGAAAACTCACAGCACAAAAAATTAAATGGTGAAGGAGTTAGAAAGGCTAATTGCGATGATATGATCATTGACAGGTGCATGAGTCTTTGGCACTCCTATAAACATACACAATTGTTTCGTAAATATCTGCAGAAATTCTTAAATTTCTTCATTTTCTAATTTAGGCCCAGTCATCTGAAGTCTATAAATTATTCCAATTCTCTGTTGATAAGTTCTTCTCATATCATTCTCACAATTCCCCAAATGTTCTCTGCACTACTGCCAGCCATTTTCCTACAAAACATCCCTACTTTCCTTTCTTTCCTACTCAAAAGAACTGCTCAGAGTTTCCCAGTGTCTTCAAGGAAAACTCTGCTCTTACCTTGAGTTAAAAATCCCCTTTGAGAGCCGTGCATTTCTTTGCTTCTCTGATTTCGATGCTCTAATACCCTTTTTCTTTTGGTCATTGGATGGCATCCTTAAAGAACTCCCAAGCAGGATCTGATAGGAAGAGGAGCTACCTAAATGTGCCTGATGCTGATTCAGACACCGTGAGTCTTCACCCTTGCTATTTTCCCCTTTCCAACCATACTTCAGAAGTTCCATGGTTTGAGAAATATGATTGGATTAGCAGTTCCACTTGTTTTCTGACTGGTACACAGCCAGATACTCCTTTCAGAAGGGATTCATAAGCTGAAACATCTCAATAGTTCCAGTTCATTAAATGTTAGAATCTGAGTACCAGTCAAAAGACATGTCCCAAAATGGTTTATTGATGAGTATCTCTATTTTAAGTCACAGCCATGTTTTGATTTTAAAAAAGTGGTTTATCAGTAGTAAAATTGTCATAATTAATTTAAATCCTCCTAAGTCTCAATTTTGTGACTGCTTAAATTTTTTCTACTCATAGGGATCCCTCATCCTTGTCTGATCATATAGTTACAGGAGGCTTTGTTGAAAGTATGGGTCAGTTATACAAGAAGGTGTTGAGTTGTAGTCCACACGGCTTTTGACTAGAAACCCAGAACTTTTCTCTGTGGCATCCTGCACACCTGGAACTGTGGTCAGGCAAGGGTCTGGAGATTAAAGAATACACGGAGACGTGGGTCACTCTTGAAGCAACAATGTCAATTTTATTATGTTCCAAGGCAGCTTATATAGTGTTCTCCTTGACTAGTGGCCATGCCCCAGCTCTCAGGATTTTCTAGTGCAAGCTTCCAGAAACCATTTCCTTGTCATCAGGAGCTCATGTGGGTTTTGGGCTCAGAGCAGCTGCAAGCATAGAAAAACAAGTTATTTACTTCCAGCAGGCAAAAGTGATAGAAAGTTCAGGGTCTGTGGGTATGCAGCTCCCAACATTCCTCTATGGCTTAGTTTTACTAACAAATTTGTGAACCAGAGTTTCTCCGTGTGTAGATTAGTTGAGGTTCATTCATGAAGCTCTTAAGGCTTGAACCATGCTCCATATATCAACAATATTGTATAACCATGGACCCCCAAACTTTCCCAATTAATGCAGCCCCTAGAATCTCAATAATTCTCTAATGTAACTCCTAAGTGAGAAGAAGTAAGGACTAGTTTCCCAAAAACTTAAGAACAGAATTTTTTAATTTACCTGAATTATTCTTTTTTCAAATAGTGACTAAGTTCTGAACTTAAGTGCTTTCATTACTTACTAACAGCATGTGTGTACTTGCTGAGTACTATATAGTTTTTCAGATCTTAGAATCTCATTAGATAGCACCATATTCAACCAAAATTAATGTTTCTGCTTTTTTTGCCTTGAGAAAAGTTCATTTTGTTTGAGAAACTCAAGATCCTTCTGCCTTCATCTCCCAAATTCTCAGATGAAGGGCATGCACCACCATACCTGCATTCTATATAGATTTTAATGGATTTTTTAGATTGAAGAAATTGTCAAAAGTTCATCATATCACAAATAGTAATTCATTATAAAAATAAAGTATGATCTTAATAATGACACTGCAACCTGCTAGTTAGTGCTTTACCAACTCTGTATGCTGTCTGATGTATGCTGCTGTAGCTGTGTTTCCCTTTTAAATCTTTTTTGGAACTCCTTGAATTTACAGTGATACTCTGGGGTACAAGTACACATTATTCGGGCCCTAAGATCTAGTTGTCTGTAGAAAAACTAAAATGCCAGACTGTAATCCAGACTTAATCTTCATTCTAAAATGATCTTCAGTAGATTTTTTATGTAGTTAACATTTTAAATTCTGTTGCATTATTTTAAGAATAAGAAAGACAAATTCTGTTACTTATTGATTCTCTTTAAGAAATCGCTTGTGTGGGTTGTGATAGCTCACACCTGTAAGATTTGCTGGAGGAGGCACAAGCAGGAGGATCATGTGTTCAAAATCAGCCTGGGCTATACATTAAAAGAAAAAGAAATAACGTATATGCAATTTTAAAATTATTGGTTCATTCTTGCCTTTGACTTCTGTTTAAAAGAGATATTGAACTAAGTCAGATAATCCTGTTTCTTGAAAAAATACATCCTGTTTAAAACACAATAGCCTTTTAAAAACAATGACAATAAAAATCCAACCATGGACATATACAGACACAGAGATAAATAGATAGAAATATAGATACATTCATGTATCCACACATGATATATGATGGATAGATGAGATATAGATACAGATATATATCCATGTATATGAATGAATGAAAATTCTACATTCTTTGTACTTCTGTAGTCTTTGCTTCTCAGTGGTGAATAAGAGGTTAATGAAATTACTGCATCATTCATGAATGTCACTGGGTTTTTGTTTCCATCATGTTAATAAGATACAGAGTCTTTGTTTCTGGTACTTAATAATAATGCTACATTGATTTAAAATATGTATATTATGTTCTGAATGTTTTGACAGAATTTTTATTCACCCTTATAGAATTTTTTAGGTTTTTATATTAAATGAGGTCCTTAATTTCTTGGTGCTATATTTAGGTCGTTTACTATTACATGGAATTTCAAAGCCATGGTTCTTAAACTACCTATGTATCCACACAGCTATGAAGCTGGGGAACTTACACCCTGTGAATATAGGATGTCTAGCTATACCTTTGTTAAGGCTGTAGCTGTGGTTCCCTGAGGACTGATAACACAAACCTTAAGAGTGCAAAGAAAGACACTAAGATTTTTGTTAACTCACAATGTAGAGTGAACTTTTCTTTCTTCTGATCATTATGGTCTAGATATGTAAATATATTGCATTTGAGTCTATCATCAAAAAAAGTAGACAGTGACAGGGATGGAGAAGCAAGATTGTGTTAGAAATCTCCAAATGACTCCGTATTCTTTAGAAGACATGAATAAAGGATTTTAGCTAACTTAAAGGAGATACTTCCTCTCTCGCAAGCTTTCTGCCTCCCTTACTGATGGAGCTAAGTGAGTATTCTTTTCAGGTTAGAATTTTGTGCAGCACCAGCAAAACAAGTAAAGGTATTAACTTGCTTCCTTCCCTCACCTTTGACTCCCCTGCTAGTTACATAGAACACCAACTAACATTGACTAAAGGGGGTTGAGTTTTGCATAGAGCCTGAAAATATTACTGGCTGACTTTCTTCATCTTGTTTACTACAGACCAGCCTTAACAGCATGATGAGTGTTTACAGTGAGACAGGAGACTACGGCAATGTGAAGGTAACCGGGGAAATTCTCCTCCACATCAGCTACTGCTACAAAACTGGCAACCTCTACATTTTTGTCAAGAATTGCAGAAACCTGGCCATAGGTGATGAAAAGAGACAGAGGACAGATGCGTAAGTACATGGGATGCTCCAGAGCTGTCTCTAGTACTACATTCTCTGTCTTCACTTTTCCATGTCACGCATATGTCCTCTTCAGAAGAAGTTAAGGATTACCTTTAGTTAAGAACTTTCTCAGAGTCAGGAGGTGGCAGTGCATGCCTTTAATCCCAACAACAAAGCCACTCTGGTCTACAGAGCAATTCCAGGACAGCCATAACTGTTATACAGCAAAATTCTGTCTTGATAAACCAACCAACAAACAAAATCAAAAACCTTCTTAGAAAGCTACTTGTGTCTAGGCATGGTGGTACATGCCTTTAATCCTAGCACTTGCACTCGGGAGGCAGAAGCAGGAGGATCTCTGTGAGTTCAAGATCAGCCTGGTCTACAAAGTGAGTTCCAGGACAGCCAGGGTTGTTACACAGAGAAACCCTGTCTCAAAAAACAAAAGAAAGAAAGAAAAGAAAAAGAAAGAAAGCTATTTTTCATTTCCTTCCTATACTGTAGTTCTAAATATTCTCTGGAGTATGAATATAAATATTGTATCCCCGATTATCTGATTTGAAAGAGGCCTTTAAATGATTCAGAACTAACAGAGGCCACTTGTGGAGGAAGAAAACTGACATATTGGCACACAGCATGATGCCTAAGAGGGTTGTGCTGATTGCTTAAAATATTTTTCATGCAGTATATTGTGATCATATTCTTTTCCCTCTCAACCCTCCCAGATTCCCCCTACCAACTTTATGTTCTTTCTCTCTCTTAGAACAAAACTAAAGCATGTGTGTGCACGCATGTGTGCATATGCGTGTGCACAACACACACACACAATACAGAGTCCAATTTGTGCTAGTCAACTACTCCTGAGCATGAGGCCTGCTTTGGAGTATACTTGATTATACCCAGTGTTACGCCATTGAAGAAATCCATTTTCTCTCTCCCAGCATCTCTTAATCATAAATAGCTTCTAAGAGGGGGGGGTGTGATTTGTTGCTCATTTTATACTCTCTAAATTTTAGATGGCTAAATGACAAACATAATTATTTTGGCTTGCATAGAAAGGAATCATCTAAAACCCCAGTGGATGTGTTTCAGAACTCTAGTATAATATGTTTCAATCTTGTTCTTGTCTCTGTCTTTTCTAATGTCTCTGTCCCAAAACACTTCTAAAATGGCTAGCCAACACAAGCCAAGAAATGGCATTGAAATTCTGTCAAGTTGCCATTTTCCATTGCTTCCAATTCACTGCTTTCTTTCTTTCATTCCAATTAACCCTGTGCCCTGACATCAGAAGATAGAGCTAGTAATGGAGAGACATATATCTCAGAAAAGGTTGTAAGATCATTGTTGTTAGCAGATTCCATTTGTGCAGTAGTACAATATGGCAGCTCCTCCTATATGTTTCATGAGTTAGGTATTGCTGATATCCCACTTTCTACATTTGAGGAAACAGATAAAGAAAAGTTAAAAACCCAAGGCTATCAAAAGCAGTGATGCATGGGTAGTTCTCCACCAATATACAACACTGCTTCTTTCTTATAGAAAGCCCAGAATTATATTTATGACACCCTGAAGTCTCTTATTTCTATATCTTTTATCCACTTACCCATTCCCTTTACTCACTAAAGTCCTGGAATATTTCTAGTAAAGTTTATGTTTGTAAATAATGATTTTTTTTATCCTATGTTATTTACAGTTATGTCAAGTCATACCTTCTTCCAGACAAGTCCCGAAACAATAAGCGCAAGACCAAAATCAGAATAGGCACCAATCCAGAATTTAACGAAACACTTAAGGTAAATAAATACCAATATAGGGACTTATGTCATATTAACTAGAACTTCTTTAATTTATAATAAACTACAGGTCAGAAGGTTGTGGTGGGGTATTGTTAAAAGTTCAAGGCTAGTCTGAGATAGCATGGTGACATTCAAACAAGCTTGGCCTACAGAAGAAGACTAGTCCCTATTTCAAAAATACAAAGATACCAAAAAGAAATGAAGAAATAACTAAATGGAGCATTTGTGAATTCCAAAGTTTATATGTGTTTTGGAAAGCTTGAATTTGAATGTTATTAACTTTCTGGAAGTTTATGGAAAAGAAAAAAACAGTAAACTATCCTTGCTCTGGTCATTCTCCACTATTTCTGGGGTTGTGCCTTATGTCAAGATGAGCCAGGAAACTGCAAATTAAATCTAAGCTGGTATATCTTGTCACAAAATAAGTTGCTCCTTTGAGAAATCAGCTTTCTTGGACATTTTTCTTAAATGAACTTTGTCACTAACTCAGCAAATCACTTTGTACATATTTATTGCTTTGTGTTGTTTCTTATTAGGATCTCTGAGTTTGGATAAATATAGGTGTGTGGTTAATGAGCACTAGCAATGCAAGGTCAGGTTTGAGAAGTCTCAGAAAATGCCTAGATAAAACATGATCCAGACTTTGGGTTCTAAATTCTAAAGAAATTTCTATTTCTAATGGGTAGCCATAAACAACCCCTTCTTTCACTTTGAATCCACATGGCCTGGTAAGAAAGACAAAGGAAAGATAAAATAAATTAATAATATTAATAATCATAAGAAAATGTTTTAACTTGTGCCCAGAGTAATGGATTCAGAGTTTATCACACTGAGCAGTAGTGATGGGAGAAAGCCACAAGTTGTCCACATGCGTTAGGAGAGGTACGTGTGGAAGCAGGGGTCAATATTAAGACAGACCAAATGAAAAATGAACAAATGCAGGCTGACTTTGAATCCACTGGTCATAATAGGGTAGCAAAGATGATCCCAAGCAGAACACATAATTACAGTGACAGATAAATTCAGGAGGTAGAGAGCTAAAATTAGTCATGATGGTAACAGCTGGGACAGGGATACATGCAAATCCAAGCTCAGAAATGAGTCAGTCTGAAGCATGACCCAGATGGATATACAGAACAACAGAAGATTAGAGAATATGTGGTCACGTGGCCATGCTGAACATTTTGCTGGAAAATATTGTGCTGCAAACCCCATAGTATTTATTTTCTGCTAAACCTGTGTGTAGTTTTAACTTCGACTGGGATTTATGAATCTTAGGCTACAATTTCACATGTTAATACTTGTCTGCATTCGAGGTTTTTTATTATGAATTAGTAAACTGGTGTATGGTTATATTAAACCTAGAGCTACAAAGTAGACTTGACAAAAACAAACAGGGAAATGACAAAAAAGAAAACCAAGTAAAATTGGAAAGAGCTTTCCTCTTCACCTAATACTTTCAATATTGTCCCTGAAGTTTGTTGACCCCTATAATAATTTGTTTATTAATATATGTGTGTGTATGTATGTATACATGTATATATGTAATGTGTATGTATAGTTCTTAACTAGGTAAAACCTAGAATGTGTTTTAAAGCATATCTTCAATTGTAGCAAAAGTATCAGGGTTTTTTTTTTCATATTGCTGATGCCTATGGTCTGAAAATTGGTGAAGTAAACTTTAGCCTGCTCTACAATTAGATCGAATCCTCACTGCAGAGTGTGATTCTTTACTTCTCATTTGTAGTATACCATCAGCCACACCCAGCTGGAAACAAGAACTCTGCAGCTCTCAGTCTGGCACTACGATCGCTTTGGGCACAACAGTTTTCTTGGAGAGGTGGAGATAGCTTTTGACTCATGGAACTTTGAAAACCCATGTGATGAGTGGTTTGTGCTTCAGCCCAAGGTAGGAAATACTTTCAGATTAGTCCACCAGCTACACAATTAGACAAGCGTGAACAAATGTGATAGTTTAGGCCTGAAAATGCTGAAGGCTTCTATTTTCAAGTAATAACAAATATTATTGTAATTTTAATAGATACTATAAATCCGTTATTTTAGAAGCTCTTCATAGATGCATGTTGTATAATATAAAAATATGTAATCATATATGAATAACTTTTATTACTTAAATCCATTTATCATTTGAAGATCTTCATGGATTGCTAAAGACCATCCTACATGATCCTATTATAACAAGAAAGCCTTTTTTATGCCATCAAAAACATATCCACAGAGTATGACCACTTTCAAAACATTATCTCTCTTTTTCATAGGCAGGGATGGTCTTCTTGGCTCACACGAAAAAGCAACTACTTGCCAAAATATTTTTACTTTAGGGATTCATAAAATGGCCGTGTAATCTAGCATGTTCAGTCCTAGAACAACAAAGCCTTGAATTCATTATAACCAACTAAATTTCTTGACATTTACTGTCAGTTTCTAAGTAAGAAAGAGAATGAAAAGGTTACATTTGTGCTGCCAGAGATTATTCTTTATATGTTGTAGCAAAAGGTCATTCGGTAAAGGTAGTGAACTGAAATTAGCATTGATTTCCTCATGGCTTCAAAATGCCTATGTGATCTTGAGCAAGTTACTTTCTCAACCTTGATATTCTAATTTGTAACATAATAATCAGTATGGTATCTGTCACTATAACTCTGAGACCTGGGATATCTGAAGTGCTTGGTTCTCTTAGAGAATTGGTATTATATTTGTATAAGCATTTTCTATAAGCCTGTCAGCATTCTGTTAGGCACACTGTAAACTGTAAATAAAAGCTTGGTAGTATTTGCATTGATTAGTAGCTTGACCCAGATTGGCAAATCTTACCTAGACTTTGGAGTCTCGGCTTTCTATACTTCTTTGGCTTCAGTTTCAGGTACACACATCATTGACCTCTCTTCCTAGCTCCACGAATGCTAAACCTGTACATTATTAGCTCTGCACTATACTGTTCAGAAAAGAAAACTTTTTTTTTCTCTTCTAACAGTCAAAACAATGTCTTTGGCCTGCCTGGTTCTCTTAACTCTAAATATATTATCCTTCCAATCGTAAGCTGATAACTTGCCAGTGAGGTAAGATGTAGTGGTTGGAATAAAAATATTGAAAACACAGTCTGGTCAGAACTGTAGGATAGCCACAAAAAATCAGACCCAATAGATATAACTAATTTGAAAGTTGATGTGGGAGCCCCCTATTGTGCTGTGATTATCATTAATGAATAAAGAAAATGTTTTGGACCTATAGCAAGGCAGAACTTAGGTAGTCAGGGAATGCTGGACTGAATGTTGGGAGAAGGAAGAGCTGAGTCAGGGGACGCCATAGAGCCTCCACCAGAGATAGACATGCTGAAACTTTGCTGGTAGGCCACAACCTGGGGATGATACACAGATCAATAGAAATGGGTTAAATTAACATGTGAGAGTAAGCCAATAAGAAGCTAGAGCTAATTGGCCAAGCAGTGAGGGTGCTGGCAGAGAGGGTGAGTTGTAAGTACTTGTCTCCATCAGAGGCAACAGAGTTTCCTATCAAATGTAATATGACTGGCACTACCACATTTCTACAAAGTTAGAAGACTTGAAATCTTTTCCTCTCCCTCTGCTCTGCATAGATTTTGTTCAGATTGCACATTAGAAGGAACTGAGAAATGGCTGTCAACAGTATTATAACAGTTGATGGTTCAGTCCATCTTCTACCAGGAGCTAAACTGTATGTGAAAGATTCAAACTTCTTTGTTAAGCATAAGTCTACTGACAAAAAGACTGAAGAAATCATGAAAGAAGGTAATGTACTTTACCAAATGGTGATCCACAATGTCTATCTTCACAATATCCATGTGATTCCTCCATCAAAGAATAAGTATGGCTACAATAATTATAATAATAATTATTATTATTATAATAAGTGCCTGCCATGGAGCATGTGTGAAAGATAAAGCACAACTCATAGAAGTCCATTCTTTCCTGCCATGTGGCTCCTGGAGATTGCACCAGGCTTGCTGGCAAGTTCTTATCTGCTAAACTATCTTGATGGTCCCATGTTTTCCAAATTTTAAAGACATAGCCTTACAACACATAGCCTTCTGAGATGGCGCAACAGGTAAAAGCAATTGCTCTGTGGGCCTGGTAACCTGAGTTTGATCCCCAGAATCTATAAAAGGGTGGAAAGAGAGAACCTACTTGTCTTAGTTAGGGTTTCTATTGCTATGAAGAGTCACCATGACCATAGCAACTCTTATACAGGAAAAACATTTAATTGGGTGGCTTATAGTTTTAGAGGTTTAGTCCATTTTCATCATGGCAGGACACTTGGTGGCATGCAGGCAGACATAGTGCTGGATAAGGAGCTGAGAATCCTACATCTTTGGCCCACAGGCAACAGTAAGTGAACTGAGACACTGGACATGGCTTGAGCAGATATGAAATCTCAAAGCCTACTTCCGTAGTGGCACACTTTCTTCATCAAGGCCACTAAAGCCACAACTCCTAATGCTGCCACTCCCTATGAACTTGTGGGGGCCAATTACATTCAAACTACCTTCAAAGTTTTCCTCTACCTCCACACATATGCTATGACATGTGTGCTCTCAGACAAACACACCTAGAACTCCTCAACCTTTATGTACTTAGGAATAGTAGTTGATGAATGCAAAAAGCTTAGAAAGAAAAGATAAAATGTCAAACTTGTGTGGTTTAATGTGATGATTTTTTTCACCTCCATTAAAGACAGATGATCTTCACTGATTAAAGGTCAGAAGTGACAAGACTTGATTATTGTCATTTGTCTGTTTTGTCTTTTTTTGAGACACTGTATTTTTATATAGCACTAGCTGCCTTTGAACTCACTACATAGACCAGGCTGGCCTCAAACTCACAGAGATCTGCTTGCCTTTGTCTCCCAAGTACTGGAATTAAAAGTATATACCACCATACCCAGCAAGACAGTAATTCTAGTTATAGATCTTCGTGTTGTGTGTTATAGAGTTGATTTTCACAAAATTTCTTGCTTTTTCTGCCAATAAAATAAAGGCAATAACAAACCATAAAATCAAATTCAGTACAATTATTTGAAACAGTCTCCTTCCTGTGTCAGTCATTTCAGTTCAGGTGACACACTACCGGCTGCTTAGGATTTATTGTGAGCAACCCTAGAGTCTTGAGGTTTTTATCTCTTATCCAGCTAAGGTGGAGTGTGAGTTATAGGGACTGGTTTCTCTAGTAATAAAAGATCAGAATTAATATTTCCGCAATCCTAACTTCCCTTTACAGGGGAAATGGCAGAGCAATATGCTGTTGTACTGCTTTTTCTTGTGTTACTGAAAGTCCTTCAGTACTGACAGCTTTATTTGTGTTAGGTTCTACAACAGGAGCCAGTGGGGAGGCTGGTGCAGACAAAAAAAAGGGATTCAAGTTGTCAAACTTGAGTACTGTGAAGTAGTTTCACAGTACAACTTCCATTTTACTGCATGACGTGGAATGCTTGATTACCTATGACTCATTATCCTTTTGAAAGTCACGTTAGCTAGTTAGACAAGAAGTGTTTGTCGGTATGAATTGTCATTCAAGCCTTCCCAGGAGGCGCTATTAGAAAAACAAAAGCCTCTGGAAACCGACAGAAAGTTTAAGTGGTTTTCTAAGGAAATGTTCTCTTATTTTGCCTCCAAGCAAAGAGTAAATGTACATTTCTGTAGAATTATTACCTAGCTAAAAGCTGTTCTTTACTTGACAGTATTGACACTTTTGTCTGTAATTTATTTCCCTACCTTACACCTGCAAATGTATTTGAATGTCTCAGGGTTGTTTTTTTTTTTTTTTTTTTCTGCATGGAAAGTGGATTTGTCTTTTCAGACAGTAAAAGACAGTGAGTGTCATTTGATTATTTCACACAAACACACACCCATCTGCTTTGAGAATCTCAATAATTTTTTACTGCTTTGGGGTATACTTTTAATCAATGCTACCTCTTTTCCTGACTCTAAAATCCTCACTTGATATGCCCCAGATTTGGTTGCAGCCTAGCATACCATACCTTTATTTTCGAATAAATACAGCTCTCCACTGTTTCTTTACCCACATTCCCTGACCTCCCAGTATTTGCAGGTGAAGGGCCCTTGTAATATGGAATAAGCTGATTAGAATTTTAGCTATCCGGAACGTGTTGCAATGAACATGAGAATGCAAAGGTCTTTTTCATTTCCTTTGGCCATATAACCAATAGAAGGAATAATGAATAATATGGTAGTGCCAGTTTTTATCTTCATTTTTGAAAGGCATCCATGCTACTTTGTATTACAGCTTTATTAATCTGCATTTCTCTAGTAACAATGTGCAATCATTCCCTTATCTGTATCTGTACATCTTTAACAGTTGTACATATCATCTTTGTAGTAGGAGCTATTCCAGCAGGTCTGAGGATAAATGGCATGTGAGCTTGATTTGTTTTTACCTAAAATTGATAGTTTTAAGCACTATTCATAAACCCATTGGCATTTACATGCGTTCTTTTGACAATTTTACCAAAATTTAACAAGGTTATTTGGTTTAATTTTGACCTATTTGAATTCCCTCTGTATCTTGGTTACTTACGTCCTATCAGGGGTAGATATTTTCTCACACCACCTAGACTGTCTCTTTGTTGAGTGTTTCCCTTGTTATACAGAAGTATTGAAATTGTTGTCATTCCAGGTTATAAGATGTGATCCCACTTGTGTTTTTGCTTTTGTTTCTTATGCTTCTGAGATCATATCCCTGCCCCTGACAAAATAAATGATTGACAAAATCAGTGCCATATAACTTTTCCCCTACACTTTCCAAATTATTTTCTAGTTGTCTTACCCTTTTGGGTCTTACAGGTAAATCTCTAATCCATTTTGTTTTGACTTTATATATGCTATATAATGTTTAC